ACGAAAAGCCATTACATCTCTCCAAAGAACCGCAAAATGCACCTTTTTTTTTTGAGTGAGCCTTCACTCGTTTTTTTTTTGTTTTTTTTGGTGGGGGGGGGGGAGAATTTTTCCTGTTTCAAGCCAAATCAACCAGATTGATTCGGAATCAGTCAAGATCGTAGGTGGCCCTGCAACAGGCAAACAGGCACACGTCCTCCATCCCACCTGGGGCATCAGATGTTTCCAAAATCCTTTGGCGGGCATCCTACGTGCAAGTCCAAGCCTGGAGGCTCGGGGTTTGTTCATGCCCCCATGTTTTGCTTGCCCTCAGCCATAAGGCCCGGGGAGCAAAGAGGGAGGAATCTTCCCTTTCCATAAAGGGCATAAAGCCAAGACCTTCCCACTCCAGCAGCTCAATGGGAGGTTTACTATATGCTACCTTCATAGAGTTCATAGACATTAGGGCTGGAAGGGACCTTGAAGATCATTGAGTCCAGCCCCCTGCCCAGGGGCAGGAAGTCAGCTAGGGTCAAAGGATCCCAGCAAGATAAGCATCCAAACATTTCTTAAACGAGTCCAGAGTAGGTGCCTGCACCACTTCTGGAGGAAGTCTATTCCAGGTCTTGGAGCTTGGACAGTAAAGAAGTTATTCCTTGCGTCCAGCCTGAAACAGTCATAGAGGAGTTTATGACCATTCGTCCTCAGGGCGCTCTGGTGAACAGGGCTGCAGCCTGGCTAGACTAGCAGGTACTATCCCCATGCCAGCAGAGCGGTTTTCCCGGGAGTGACTAGGAAGCCACCATGGTGATCACTGTATTTCCCCTGCCAGGCAAGCATAAGACTATGCTTGATCTGAGCCTCTGATTGTCAGCACTTCCGTAGGACTGCCTTGAAATAAAGACATGCTTCAACTACGATCCCCAGTTTCACTTACTCGCTGGTGACTTACACTGAGCAATATGAAGACGGCGACTGTTTTGCATGCTTACTTGCATATTTTTCAGTGTAGGACAGTTTTTTCAGCAAATATCATAATTTTGAGCTTCCAATATGATCACTTCATATTTAAGACCTGGCAATGCTGCTCTGTCGCTTTGTGCCTGTGCAGGCAGCTCTGTGCAGGGCTGTCCCCGGTACTGGGGTCCCCTAGGCAGGGGCTTGCCCCTAGCCAGGTTAGGGAGGGGATTCCCCCTCCCAGGGGAGGTCTCCTCCCCTGCTCCTTCTCAGTGCTGCACTCGTCTCCCCCCAGGGAGCCTCCTTTCCTTGCCCTGGCCCAAGAAAACGAGAGGAGAGGGGCGCTCTCCTCTGCCTGCAAGGCCTGAGCCAGCCCTGAACAGCTGCATGTGCTGAGCAAAGGCAGCAACTGGGGCACAGAGAGGAGCAAGCCCATTTCCCAGACAGCCAAATTCAGAGTCCAATGGGCCAGAGCCACGTGTCAGAAACACTGGGGATTCATTTATTTTTTTTTGCTCCAAAACCCCTGTTGTTCACCCCATGGGTCCCAACACTATATAAAAGGGTTGTGACTAAACTTTAAAAATAGATCATATTTTTCATACATTTTGAAAAAAGATGCTGCTTGTGTTTCACCATATGTTAACACTGTACATACTGATAAACAAGGATCTGGGTTTTCCATTTGCCATGGAAAAATGCGGATTTTGTCCTTTAAAGAGCCACGGTAAAGCCATGGCCTGGCGTGCAAGCAGCTGGCAGCAGGAGGAGGTGAAGGCAGTGCAGCCTCCCCTGCCTGTTACTCCTTGTACTGCTGGTGGCACAGCTGGTGTGGGGGTCCTGGCGGCAGCAGCACCAAATCTCGCTGCCCTGCTCTGCCCTCTCACACCGGGTCCTGCCTGCTGGGCCGCAGAGGTGGCTCTTGTTCATGCCAGGCTAGCCAGGCTGCATCCCCGCGCCCACTGTGGGTGCACAAATCTGAAGGGGCACGTGCCCCACCATAGCCCGCCTCCCCGCCCCACACACTAGTGTTTAGGGGACAGCAGGTCAGGAGTGAGGGGCATGAGCATAGCTGGGGTGGTAAGGAGTTGTGGGTTGGGAGTGAGGAGCACTGCAGGGCCAGAGGACTGTTTTCTTCTTAAACTATTTACTGGGTCGGGGCTGGCCATTGATGTTTACAAATGGGTCCTGGTACAAATAAAGGTTGAGAACCCCTGTGCTAGGAGATAATAAAGACCTATCCCCATCCAACAGCACTGTCCCATGATTTCCCACTGCTGATGTTGAAGTTGAGCTGCCCACAGAAGATACCAAAGGGCTTCTTGGTGTCATTTTCCAAAGACAGCAGAACAGGACTGCATGGGGTCTTTCATAGCTGTGGATAGCTGGCATCAATGGAAACGTGTCCCACACAGAACATGGATGTTCTGAAGTTCCCACTTTACTGGGTTACACACTCACAACATTGCAGGTAGCTTTCTGCAAATTCTTAAGTATGTCTTTTGTAAGGTTGGGATCCAAGGCCGCACTGGTTTTATGATACACTTCCTTGTTATAAGCAGAAGAACAATTAGTTTAAGGAGCTTACCTCCAGGTTCAGAATCATTTGCGAGCAGCATGAGCAAGGAAGATGTAACCTAAAGCATGTGAATCCTAAGATAGGAACGCAGTCAGTTTTACACTTGCAGAACTCAACACAAAATGAAACAAATATCAACTTGCTCTTAAAACCATGCAGAGTAAAACCTGTTGCCTGTCTCTCCATAAAGACATTTTAGGACTAAATTAAGAGGACACAGAAAACTGATATAAAAATAAAATGCACGTATCAGCTATAAGTTTCTCTTATAACAAATGGGAGCATCTCTTTCACATGGGCAAAGTTTTCGAACTTGCATTCTAAGATGTGTGCCTTTAAATTCCAGTAATTAATTTTAACATGGAAGTATCACTAAGTCAGTATATGATTTTAGGTATTTTTTATACTTAAATTTATATGATTTAAAAGCAGTTCCAAAGATTGCACTGATCAAATGATAACAGTTGCTGCAGTGATTGTATCTCTTCTATCTTTTGTTACAATAGCGGTAGGAAGAGCTGCAGGAAGACGCAATGGGACAAACTGATAGTGGATGCTACTCCAACTCCAGTAGAGTTACACCAAGGATAGATTTGTCCCATTTAGTTCAGCAGCTGGTGAAAGATCTGGTACATTGAATCTTATTGAGATTGTATTTCCTCTGCAGCAGAAATCTATTAGAAGAAGAAGGAAAGAAAGAAGGTGGAGGAGAATGGAGAGGTAGGAGGAGAAGGAATAATGAAGACAAACTAGGGGAACAGGAAAGGAAGGTGGAATAGGGAGAAGAAAGTTCTCTTCAGGCATCAGGGAGGCCTGGATAATTTGCCTCACTACAGAAAACTGAAAGCAGCCAGGAACATAAAAAGCACTTCACATTTTCTTTCACATTACAGTGATTTTTAGATTCTATCTTAAGGAAAAGACATTTTATATTCCAAGGCCCAATTACAACACATGCTGCACAAAGATGCCTTCCAGAAATCCTCTGGTCAGCAGCAGAAATGGTAGTAGATGCTGCCTTACAACCAGAGAGGGAGACATTCTGGGTGACAAGCCAAGGGTTAAAAGAAAGAGCCACATGCTTACATGTACATAGCTGGTCCCTACCAAACACATGATTGCAGTAGAAGGAATTTTAATGATAAAGAATTACTGATTATCCTAAAAAAAAAAAGGTGAATTCCTCATATTTCTTTTCTTCCTAGAAGAAATATTATTTTGGGGCTCATTACAGCAGTAACTAGGTTTTTGTACTGTCTGTGTTATGCAGAAGATCAGGCAATGGTGGATGGGTAATGGTCCTTTTTGGCTTTACAATCCACCAATAAACACTCTGCATTGGATGGGAAGGAGCCATTTAGAGACAAGCTACCAGTATACAGTGCATGTGTGTACCTGCTTGATAGTTCATCTGCAGCATTTTTCACAAGGGTTAGAATTTGCCACTCTGAATTTAGAGGGACAAAAAACAAAGTTTAAAGATGTTTAACAAAAACTTAAAGATGTTGCATTGCCCTTGTAAGGATCAATATAGTTTTTACACCATTCCTCATTTATCTGAGACCTAGAACAGCCAGCAAACTCAGCACTTTGACTTAGCCATTCAGAAGAAGTAAATAGTTTCTAGTTTCTAGGGTCGGAAGGGACCTGAGCAGGTCCCTAAATAATTGTCTTCTGAAAAACATTTTTTTAAAATCAAAATGAAACCAGAGTTTAAAAAGTAAAAGTCTCACTCCAAGAGCCAGGAAACCACAAAGTCAAGCCCCAGCCCTTCCGCAATTTGTGAACTGTTATTTCCTGGAACTCTCTTGATTCTAGTTTGACTGCTGTTATTTCTGATGAAAAATTAAAACCAAAGATAAAGCCTGCTGCTTTGATCAGAACATTTCATATTTCTCTTCAGGATGCATGGTGAAAAGGCAGTAGTATTAAACAAACAATAGTAACCTGAGCACCCACAAAACAGTAAAACCAGGCTCACCAATGACCTCTATGTTCAGTGCCATGCCACATATCAGTCAGTAGACACCAAGCCTCTTTGTAAAGAAATCCTCGTTTACCTTTAGCATTTAGGAGCAACCTGATTTCTCATGGATAGCCACTGGCCCAGAGGACCCTTCCAGGAGCTTCACATTACCAGCTGGTGACCTTGGATCGCCCAGGGTTTGCCTCAAATTTAAAATCCTGCTTGGAATTCAGGAAGAGGCCTGTATTTGTCTTGCCTTCTCACAGATTTT